AAGCTAGAAGCCCTGGGTTTCATGCTCAGCACCAAAAACAACAAATAAACCTCCCCTAAAAAACAATTCAACCAAAAAAATAGAGTAAAATCAGAATTTTCTTTGTCCAGGGCCAGCGGTGGTAGGGGCATAGCTCAGTGGCAGAGGCGCCTGCCTGGCAAGTGCAAGGTCCTGAGTTCTATCCCTGCTATAAAAAAAAAAGAAAAAGAAAAGTGTTTATTGTTTGAGACAAGGTCTGGCTGGGTAGTACAGGCTGGCCTTGAACTCACTAAGTAGCCCAGGCAGGTCTCAAAAACTCATAGTGATCCTCCTGCTTCATCCTCCCAAGGGCTGGGATTACAGGTGTGCTCCACCATGTGTGATTTGCTACTGTCACTGTAGTTTTGTTCCCGTCCTAGCTTTGAAGGGTAGTTGTGTCTTTCAGAAGAGCAATTTGTCAAATTCTAATTAGGCAAATAGTGTAATTTTTATGTGATATTTGCTGGTGCCAGTAGTGCCAAAGCACCCATAATTTGTTTGATCTCCACTGGTGAAATGTTATTAGACCTGGAAGTAAATGGCCCTTTAGTGTTGTGCTTCTCCGAGTAGTTCATTAAAAGAACATGCAAAGATTTTTTGTTGTTTACTTTTTGAGGTGTTGTTTAGTTTGGCCCTGAATTTACAGTGATCCTCCTGGCTCAGCCTCTGATTGGTGTGACTTAGGTACCACCATGCTCAGGTCAAAGCTCTTAAATTGCATTATTCTTTTTTCTTGATCTAGATAATTCTTTAAATCAGTTTTTCAGGTTTCATTAGAGTTTAAAATTAGGAGATTTCTGATGGTGGCCCATGTATTACTTATCCTCATGTAATTAAAAAAGAATACCTACAGCTAGGTGGCTGTATTTGATAAAATTCCTTTTGTGCTCTTGGGTCCTGAAATAAGAATTGTGAGGTAGGGGCCGGCCACATAGCTCAGTGGATTAAAGCGCCTGCAAGCAGGCACAGGGGCCAGGGGTTCAGTCCCCCGGTCTGCTGTGTTGGCCCTGTCCCCAGGGTGCGCAGAGACAGCGATTGAGACTGGGCTGCCATTGAGGCTGGGTGTGGTGGCGCGTGCCTGTAATCCCAGCTCATGGGAGGCTGTAAACAGGCAGATCACTACAAGTCTGATCTGGTAGTGAGACCCTGAACACTCTGTAGACCTTTCCCTAAAATACAAAAAAAAAGGGGCGGTGGGGAAGGCACAGAAATATGTTGTTGTCGGTGTGTGGCAGCCATTGGCATCTGAAAACAAATGCCTCCCAAGCATGTCTGGGTGCTCCAAGCGTCTGCCCTTGGGTTCTGCATGTGCTGCGAAGACCCAGCCAGCCGTATCCCACTTGCAAGCCACTTACCTGGGTCCTCAGCACTCTGGCTATTCTCATTCCATGTAGTTGGCTCTGTGTAGAACTCCAAGGACCTGTGAACTGTGGAGGTGTTCTGTTTTTCCAAATTCTGCAGCTCAAATTAGTTGGTATTATATCTGTAATTGTCATTTGGTCATTTCTTTGTTTAAAGAAATTATTGAATATAATGTTAAAAAAGTAAGATGAAAGGGCTGGGGAGATGGCTCAGTGGAATAAGTGCTTCCCTGGCAAGCGCAAGGGCCTGAGTTCAATCCCCGGTTCCGCAAAAAAAAAAAAAAAAAAAGATTGTAACACTTTGTCTCCTATCTTTATATCCCTTCCTTCCCAGACTTGGTTCCCAAAGGCAGAGAATTTCAGTATTTTTTAGTGAAACTGTTTTGTTTGCTGAGCAGAATCAGTTCGGCACTTCATGAATGAAAGGTTGCTGTTGCTGCATTCTCTCTCAGGGTTGGTAGGTGATGATTCAAGGCTGAGTGTCGGCTCTCTTGCGAGTGTCGAGCTTTGCTTGGTTAGCCTTCAGTGTTGCTGCTCACAGGTGGTTTCATTTTGGCTCCAGCTTGGTTTGTATGTGACCCCATGGTGTTTTTTTTTTTTTGCGGAACCGGGGATTGAACTCAGGCCCCTGCGCTTGCCAGGGAAGCGCTTATTCCACTGAGCCATCTCCCCTGATGGTTTTTAAAAAAATTTTTTAAAAATTTTTATTATTATTATTATTTGTGTGTGTGTGTGTGTGTGTGTGTGTGTGTGTAGCCAGCTCAGCCCACCAGGGGGCGGGCTGGCTGGCATGTGGTGCTGGGGATTGAACCGCGGTCTCTGTGCTTTGTTAAGCTTGTTCTAAGTAGGTGCTTTAGCACTGAGCCATCTCACCAGCCCCCGGGTTTTTTTTTTTTGAGACAGGGTTTTGTAATTTAGTTCAGGATGGCCTTGAATTTGCCTATGAGCCCAGGCTGACCTCAAACTCACAGCAGTCCTGCTTTCAGCCTCCGAGTGTGGGGATTACAGGCACCACCACACCTGGCTGTATGTGACCTTTTTTTCCTTTTATAAACTTTTGTATTTTTTGTGGAACCAGGGATTGAATCAGGCCCTTCCACTTGCCAGACAAGCACTTATTCTACTGAGCTATCTCCCTGGCCCCCTATATAAACTTTTATGATGTTGTTGTATTACCTGTTATTAAAAATTAAGTGTGTGGGGGCTGGGGAGATGGCTCAGTAGAATAAGTGCTTGCCTAGGAAGCTCAAGAGCCTGAGTTCAATCCCTGGTTTTGAAAAAAAAAGAAAAGAAAAAAAATAAGTGTGTGAAGTAAATGCTGGAGACTAATCCCATTTTGAAAGGGGAAATCTTTTTGAATCACTTCTTGTTCAGTTGTCTTCTAGCCCTGTACAGTTCAGGCTGGCCTTTTTTTTTTTTTTTTTTTTTTTTGGTAGAACCGGGGATTGAACTCAGGCCTTAGCACTTGCCAGGGAAGTGCTTATTCCACTGAGCCATCTCCCCGGCCCCTGGTCTTGTGTGTTACCTGTTGATTTTTTTTTTTTTTTTTTTTTTTTTTCCAGTACTGAGGATTGAATTAGTGCTTATTCTACTGAGCTATCTTCCCAGCCTTTTTTTTTTTTTTTTTTTTTTTTTTTTTTTAAATCATTGTTTTCAACCTTTCGTTTTGCTGCATGTCTGTAATCCCAACACTTGGGAGGCTGAGGCAGGAGGATTGTTGCAAGTCAAGACCAGTGTGAAGGGCCGGGGAGATAGCTCAGTAGAATAAGCACTTTCCTGGCAAGCGCAAGTTCCTGAGTTCAATCCCTGGTACTGCAAAAAATAAAAAAGACCAGTGTGAACTACAAAGTGAGCTCAAGGCTAGTCTGGACTGCATAGTGATACCCTGTCTTAAAAAAAGACATTAAGGGACCACGGACATGTAGAATAAGTGTTTGCCTGGCAAGCGCAAGGGCCTGCCTTCAGTTTTGGCAAAAAGAAAAAAGAAAAAATAACCCTTCATGTCCTTGTGTTCTAGTTTCTGGGAGATTTCTTTAGCATTACCTTTCATCCCTTCTATTAGTTTGTTATTTGTGCTAAAAAGTTTGAAACTTTTATGTTGTTTCTTGTTTTCTGGTTCGTGTGTGTGTGTGTGTGTGTGTGTGTGTGTGTGTGTGTGTATGTGTGTGTGTGGCTTAGCCTACTCTGGGGATGGGACTGGTGTGGCATGTAGTGCTGGGGATCAAACCACTGTCCCTGTGCACTTGCCTAAGCTTACTTAGCAGGCACTTTAGACTGCTGAGCTGTCTCACCGTCCCTGGTTCTTTCCTTTCTAAAGATAGCATTCTAGGGTTCAGTCTTTGTGTACTGCATAGGCTCTTGACCCTTTCCAAGTATCTCAGCTCATTTGTCATTTTCCTAGTATGTGTGTTCCAGGGCTAAATCCAGGTTTTTGCCTTCCCTCTCAGTGGCATCTCCCTATCTGCCAAGATTTTAAATATTTGCTCATCTGCTTACTTTTTGTTTCTGTACTGAGCGTTGAACTCAGGACCTTTTTTGCATTGAGCTACATTTCTGGTTGTTTTTATTTGGAGCTAGTGTCTCACCAAGAGCCCAGACTGGTTTAGAACCCAGACTCCTGATGCTCTTTCCAGAGCCTTCTGGACTGCTGGGATTATAGGTGTGTATCTCCACCGTGGCCTGCTTTTCATTTTCCAAATTATTGCATTGAAATTTTTTCTGCTGTATTTTTTACTGTCACTGAAATATTAACTCACTTTCACTGCCACTTTGGTGTGGTTTTATTGGAAGAAGAGATTATGAATGTACTGTATGTGTTCCTTTAATTCAATAATTCTGCGTGTGTGGTGCTGGAGATCAAACCCTAGGGTCTTACATGTGTCAGTAACACATTCCACCACTGACAACATATGCCCCAGCCCGCTTGCCAGTTTTTATTTTAAAAATTTTTTTGGCATGGGCTGGGGAGATAGCTCAGTAGAATAAGTGCTTGCTTGGCAAGTGCAAGGGTCTGAGTTCAATCCCAGAAAAAAAAAAAAAAAAAAAAATTCTGCGAAGTTTTATTCCAGAGGGGCTCCGTCCTTCTTGGCAGCTGCCTTCCTCGTGGCGGCCAGCACGTTGCTCGGCTCCTCATGCTTCCTCTTGGTGGGGATGTGCGTCCCCACCCTTTTCTTGATGAGCTTGAGGGCATGCTTGTCCTTGGAGACCTTGAGCAGCTCCATGGTGCACCCACCGCTCATAGGTAAAGCCATTCACCTCCCAGATCACTGTCCTGCATGAGTTTGGTGTGTTTGGTGAGGCTTCCGCGAGAGCGGCTGTGCCTCGGTTTGCTCACATCCTTAGTCACCTTGTGGCCCGTGGTGAGGCCCACAGCCATGGGATTGCGGAGGGCCATGGCTACTGTTCTTCAGTGGTTGCTGTGGCAGAAGGACCAGCTCCTGCTTGCCAGTTTTAAATTGGAGGTTTTTTTTTAAGCCCAAAGAATTTAATTCTATGCTTGTAATTGAAGTGACAGTGTATAAATTTAAAATTGCTTAGTTTGAAGAAAATGAAATGTTGGTTTAGTATTCAGAGAAATAGTGTGCTTTGTAATAATGGATTATTTGGATTTTATTTATATAGAGGAAATTGAGGAAGAATCTGAAACAACAGTTGAGATCGACTTGACTGATAAACAGAAACATCAGTTGAAACATCGGGAGCTGTTTTTGTCACGGCAGTATGAATCTCTACCTGCAACACATATCAGGTAAATAGTTTTTAGGTATTACTCTGATTTACCTAATATCATTGTGATCAAAGACAAAGATATTTGTGAAAGTATTCCTAACTCTCCTCAGGATCTTGTTCAATTTACTTTACTAAAGGGTTTTTTTTTTTTTTTTTTTTTGGTGTTTTGAGACAGGGCCTATCTGCTATCATCTAGGATGGCCTGGGGCTCTTGGGTCTTGAACTCCTGATTCTGCTGCCTCAGCCCTGAGCTGGTATTACATTCACTGGCCACCAGACATGCCCTAACTAAAAGTTTCATAATTGAAATTTACATTGTGTGTTAGCCTATTAAAGCCCTTCAGAAGTTCTACTGTGCTATGGTCCCTTTAGACTTTGTTTTTTAAAATGAATTTAGAACCAGTCTACAGGGTGTGCAGGGTCTCACTACGTAGGTCAGACTTGTGGTGATCCTCCTAGACCTTTGCTTTGTATTGCAGTGTATTGGAGTATCTTGTTAGCATCTTGCAGGACAAGTTGGGAAGTATGGTCACTTCCAGATTCCTAGCCAATTATATTGTCATTAGAATCCAAAGGCTAGAACCCAGGGTCTGGCCTTGTAGGATATGTGCCTTTCTGTTTTCTGTGGAGGCTGTCTGGAATGAAAACTTTGTATTTATTGCTTATGTGTATAGTTAATGCCCTCTTGCGTTGGTAGGATGCGAAAGTGATGGAAACCAAGTCCTTCATGTGTAGTTTTGAGGATTGTGCTGGAATGGTGATTGTCTTTTACAGTCTGCTGGGGGTGATAGAATTTAATCTCAGATGGAGCTGAACTGTTTCAGTGCAGCTTGTAATAGGTACCCTTCAGAGGTGTAACTACGTTGAAACTCATAGTTCTGACTGTTCCGTCAGGAGAGCTTTAGAGAGGCTGGCATTTGTCTCTTTATCTTTCAGGAGAATGTGGGACACATGTCAGGGGGAGCAGGTGAGCCTGGGGCTGGGGTGACCTGCGTGAGTCCAGGGTGGTGGTAGTGGGATAGGGTGCAATGTATCAGTCCAATTAAGGAAATTCTGTCTATATTATATTTCATGATCTATTTCCTCTAGTTCCTTACTGGTCATGATGGTGATAAAATCTGTTATACACCAGGCGTGTTGGTACATATACCTGTATAATTGCAGCTCTCAGGGGGCTCAGGCAGGACAGCCAGGAGTTTGAGCTAGCCTGGGCTACGTAGTGAGTTTGGGGTCATCCTGGAATACATAGTGAGGTCCTGTCTCAAAAACAAAAAAATTACAAAAACAAACTATTTATAAACAGAAATATAATGAATCAGCCACTTCAATAACTGCCCAACCTCTTAGTTCCCAGCGCTAGGATTGGATCTCAATCTTCTCGCCCCCCCCACCCCCTCTTCTCGTTCTCCTCTTCCTCCCTCCTCTTCCCTCCTCCTCCACTTTCTCGTTCTCTTCTCTTCCTCCATCTCAATCTCCTTTTTCTCTTCCTCCTCCTCTTCCCTCCCTCTCTCCCTCCCTCCCTCCCTCAGGTGTATTTCTTCAAATCTTTTCAGAAATAAATTGATCTTTGATAGTGAACAGTAGAATAAACTGGAATATAGAGATTCATTATAGGGGCTGGGGAGATGGCTCAGTAGAATAAGCACTTTCCTGGCAAGCACAAGGTCTGAGTTCAATTCTCAGTTCTGCAAAAAAAAAAAAAAAAAAAGATTCATTATAAGCTTGAATTTATGTGGTCATTTTTAAGAATCTTGCCAACACATGAATCTGACAAATGGTTTAAAGAATGGATCCAAAAAACACAAGTATTATTTTTAATTTAACCTCTGATAGCTTGGAATCTGTTTATAAGTCATGTTGGTTTCCTTTAACAGATTGTTTGGAATAGAAAAACTAGTGTTATTTTATCTTCCATGAGGACTGAGAATGTATTGAAATGCAGTTATCAGGGTACTTCGTTGTGGTACTTAGAACTTACCTATGACGCATGATCCCTTAGCCACGCTGAACAGCCACTGTATATTCTGGTGGGAGCTCACTGAATGGGTAATGGATACCCAAGAGAAGGACCTCAGCTTGTCAGCTCAAGTGTAGCAAGTGTTTCACTTGTAATTCATTTGAATTATGATGAAGGGACAGACATTTGGGGCTTTTTTCCTTTTGTCTTTTTTCCCAGTTGAGAAGGGAGTGGAGCAGAGCCACGCGTTCTTGTCTGTGCCTCATTGCCAGATAGCTCAGTGGGGTTAGCGCAGCCTCTGGCCTTGGCATAGATCGCCGCCAACCAGCCCTTGTGCTGACGGGAACAAGTGCACATGGCAGTGACTGTGACATTTTGCTAATGTGGAAGTTGTGCCCTGTTTCTGCTTTAAGAGGAGAAAATTGCTGAAGCCCCATTGTTCTTTGGCAGCCAAGAAGGGTGATTTCTTTCTTGAGGACTCAGAATTTGTTGAGTGCTCAGAATTCCCTTGGTCCTATGTGGAACTTTGCAAACCTGACTGAGGTGTTCTGGAGTGCCTTTGTAGTCTGAATTACAGTGCTTCCTGAGTGCCCAGGCTTCCCTGTAGGCAAGAAGCGGCCTGTTCTTCTCATCCCACTGTGACAGAGGATGAACATGGCTGGCCTGGTGACCTGGTGAGCGACCTCTTGTTTGTGCGACGGAGTTTTAGCAGTGAGAGTCTCTTTAGTGTGCTTTTGGTGGACAGAGGAAGCATGTTTTATGCCCATAGAGTGCCCTAGGTCATCTAACAGGTTATGTGCTGCATACATTATAAGGCACTGTAAGGCTTTTTGTTACCAGTATGTTCCTGTGTGTAGTCTTTGTGTGTATGGCTAATACTTTTTAAATACATTCCTTTACTTTCTTTTCCTCCCACTCCCCTTTCCCCCTCTCCTCCCCCTCCCCTCCCCTCTCTCCTCATGATGCAGCTTGACTTACAGCGATCTTCCTGTTTTAGCCTCCCAAGTGCTGGGATTACAAATGCGCGCCAGCACACCTGGTCTTAGTGGCCGGCTCATCGCACCTGAGGGATCAGGATCTCTTTTCCATATCTGAGTATTAATTGTGGCTAGAGAAAAATTCTTTCTGTGGCATTGGATAAATAATAAAAGTGATAATCACTTTTATTGGCCAATGAAAGATATTAGACAAGGCTTTGAAATTGTCACTGTACCTTGTAGCTGTTGTATAAAATTGTAAAGCTTGGGGCCGGGGAGATGGCTCAGTAGAATGAGCGCTTCCCTGGCAAGTGCAAGGGTCTTAGTTCAATCCCTGGTTCCTAAAAAAAAAAAAAAAAAAAATTGTAAAGCTTCATTTAATCATCTTCCTGCAGAGGAGATGCCCACCATGCTGGCTTACTTGCACTAGAGTGGATAATTTGCCACAGCAACATGCATCTTTGTTTTTGACTTATTTCTGGGACTAGTTAACAAAAACATTTTGTTTCTCCATTGGAGAATGATAAAAGTATTAAAAACGTTGACTGATTTTGGCAGATGTCTCTGTGAAAGAATATATTTAAGCAGGACAAAACTTACCTAACTTATCTTGGAAAAAATGAGAACTAAACTTCATTTAATCATTAGGAAGTTTTCAGTTAGCAGTAATTGTGCCACAGGTAAACCTTATTGGCTCCGATACTGTCACTGCACAAGCTAACTTTCTTAGAGTGAAAACTGAAGATTGACTATGTGGAAGTTAGGCTGCTCTGGACTCTGAAGAGAATGACATCAGTTGAGGATTAAACTTTTACCTGGAACACTAGGCAGAGGATTGGAAAATCTCCTTTGTATGCTTCTTGTCATCACACTAGGTCAGTTTATGCACACTTTGCAGCAAACATAAGAAAGGGGGGTGTGGAATTGTTGTCCCGCCAAGAGCAATAGAGGAGGGAATGCCATTGTTCCTGTGTTCACACATGATTGCTGGTGGTAGAGACATAGATGATCTTGATGCTCTTTTGTATTTTTTTTTTTTTAGTTTATGTGTGTGTGTGTGTGTGTGGCCAGCTCAGCCCACCAGGGGGCGGGGCTGGCTGGCATGTGGTGCTGGGGATTGAACCGCGGTCCCTGTACTTTGCTAGGCTTGTTCTAAGTAGGTGCTTTAGACCACTGAGCCATCTCGCCAGCCCCAAAAGGAACTTGCTTTTCTTTGAAAATTTTTTAAAAATGAAATGGATTGTGATTTTTTTTTTTTTTTTTTTAGCAGAACCAGGGATTGAACTCAGGCCCTGTGCTTGCCAGGGAAGTGCTTATTCTACTGAGCCATCTCCCTGGCCCTCTTTTGTATTTTTTAGAGCATTTATATAATCAGAAAAATCAAATTGGCACAGGGACTGGGGTTTGATTCCTGGCGACATATGGCCTCATCCCCAGGGTGCACTGAGCTACAACTGAGACTGGGCGTGGTGGTGCGCGCCTGTAATTCCCAGGGGTTGGGAGGCTGAAAACAGGAGGATCACTACGAGTCCAATCTGTGTAGTGAGACCCGGCACTAAATACATTAAAAAAGAAAAATCAAATTGTAATGTGTATGTATTTTTGACTCTGTAATTCTGCTTTTAGAACTTTATTGTATAGAAGTTCTCATGTAAGTTTGTAAAAATCATGTAATCAATCAATCAGTTTATCTACTTATCAGGTTTCCACCATCTCCCAGTAATGTCACACTGGCACATTCTGTGGCCCTAAAATAGTCATGTTCATTTCAAAGAGCAGAATGCATTAATTCCATTCCAGGAGCCCCAGAGTCTTCTCAGAGACAAAAGGCGTACTAGTTGTGAGCCCCTGTAAATGAAAGTTGTTTTGGAATTTTTTTATTTTATGTATTTTTTGAGATCATCTCCATATGTATCCCAGGTTGGCCTTGAAATTGTAACCATCCTCCATCCTCAGACTCCTAAGTGTTAGCTTTATAGGCTTGTCCTACCACACCTGGCTGCCTGCATAAGGTTAGTAAGTTGCATACTTCCAATATAAAATAGCCTAGCACAACTATTCTTATTTCTAATTGGAGGGAAGAAA